TGATGTATCCCACTCTGGCACCATCTTGGATGTCTCTCCATATGTCCTCTAGTGATCTGTGAAGAAAGAATCTATAGAACCCCAGTGAGGTTTGGCATTTCTCTGAGGCTAAGAAGACCTCCAGCACAGGGGCATAACAGGGTGACCAGACAAGGCTGAAAGAACCCCTGTGCAGGCTAATAAGCAGAGCTCTGGTTTTGTGTGTCCTCATCCCCCCATGTCCAAGCCCTTACCCCCCCCCCCCCCCCCCCCCCCCGAGTATTGCCACACCTAATATGCTTTAGACAGAGACTGTAAATGTGTACTATGGTGCAGGCTACAGCACATGTTGAAAAAGGCCCACGTAGCTGGGTTCTGGGCTTTACCAATCATAAATAGGATGACTGATCCCTCCACACTGCCTCTGTGTAACATCCTGCTTTGCTCATGTTGTTCCTTTCCTGTACTTTCCTTCTCTGCAATATTTGGCACCCAAGCATGGTTGGAGACCTCATTATTAACTCCCTCCTCATCACTGGAGGCAATTCGTCAGCAGGCTGCAGCTGCAGAAACATCTGTGCCAATTGGTTCTCCCTGCCTGTTGCCACCTCCCTCTATGCTGCTATTGCTCTCCTCCTCAACCACAGATTAATTAATTGCTGCACATTCTCTTGCAGCAAAGTGTTCAATAACTCCTCCTGTGTTCAAAGCGTACTCCTCCGTGCCATTTGGTGGGGCAAAGGCAGTAGTAGTTGTGAATGAGGAGGCAGAACAGTGTGCTTTAGCATCTCCTGATGAATTAAAGCTATTTTGTACCTAAGAGACAGGAGGATGATGAAGACTTGATCAGCCACTCCACCACCACCTCCACGCTCTTTAGGTGTATAGCACACCCACTGCCAGAAAAGAAATCCACATGTTCCCTGGCTCTAAATGCTGTAACCTGGCCACCATATTGGCCTATGAATTACAGATATCAATCACACTCTGATAGCTGCAGGGGAATCATTTCTGTATTTCCCTTTGGGCCTCCCAGACATAACATTGAGAGTTCAGGTGCCAGACTTTGACCAATGACAATTGTTTACAATGCATTATAGGACATTTGATGGAGAAATTCCACTGAACATCCCTGAAGTTGGGATTTTGTTCAAACTTAGATTTAGACCAAACTCTCAGCTCATCCCTATTTAGGTGTCATAGATACTGTTCTCTGATTATTGTCTGTGTTAGTTGTTGAGATGGTTCTAAATTATTGTGTATTATGAATTGCTCCTACCCTCTCAGTTTTGAATCAATGATACTCATGAATACTGTGGCATTACTGTTTTTACATTTTGTGTCTAACCCATCTTCCCTTACAAGGAGTGTCCTGTTCATTAATTGAAAACTGTTACAGGGCAGAAGGACCCAAACAATCCAGTGTCTCTTTCGGGGGGTAGTGCTACATGAGCAAATCAGGAGAGGGAACCCAGAAACCAAAGAAGGTGTCAGCACAACATTCACTGCCATCTTGACATCAGTTATGATGCACAGCTGTATTTACAGTATTTCACAGAAGTAAGCAGCTCAGTTTCAGGATCTTGGCAATCTTCTTATAGCCTAGGCCATCTTTATGTAGAGCAACAATTCCTTTTTTCAGATCCTCAGAGAGTTCTTTGCCATGAGGTGCCATGTTGAACTTCCAGTGACCAGTATGAGAGAGTGAGAGCGATAACACCAAATTTACACTAACGAGTCACATGACATCGGGGAGAGAAATTGGCTAATTTGGACATTTTCACTTAGGGGTGTACTCACTTTTGTTGCCAGGAGTGTCAGTGCTCCCGAGCCACTGCTCTGTGTGTCTATTAACCACTTGCCTACCAGGCACTTATACCCCCTTATTTACCAGACCAATTTTCAGCTTTCAGCGCTGCCGCACTTTGATTGACAATTGCGCGGTCATGCAACATTGTACCCATATGAAATTTTGATCATTTTTTTCTCACAAATAGAGCTTTCTTTTGGTGGTATTTAATCGCCACTGGGCGCTTTACTTTTTGCGCTATAAATAAAAATTGCAAAAAATTTGAAAAAAAAAAAAGTTTCTGTTTCTTTTATAAAATTTTTCAAACAGGTATTTTTTCTCCTTCACTGATGTGCGTTGATGAGGCAGCACTGATGGGCACTGATAGGCGGCACTGATGGGCACTGATAGGCAGCACTAAAGGGCACTGATAGGCAGTACTAATGAGGTGGCACGGATAGGCGGCACTGATAGACAGCACTAATGAGGTGTCACGGATAGGCGGCACTAATATGCAGCACTGATAGGCGGCACTGATAGGTGACACTGAATTTGGGTACTGATAGACGGCACTGACTGGCATCACTGCTGGGCACTGACTGGTGGCACTGACTGGCACAACCCCTGGCACTGACTGGTGACACTGAATGGCAGCACTGCTGGGCTGCACTGGCGGGTGGCACTGGTGGGCGGCACTGGTGGGTGGGCACAGGTGGGTGGCACTGGTGGGCACAGGTGGGTGGGCACATGTGGGTGGCACTGCTGGGCGCAGGTGGGTGGCACTTCTGGGCACAGGTAGGTGGCACTGCAGAGTGGCACAGGTGGGTGCACTGCTGGGCACAGGTGGGTGATCTGCTGGGCACGGGTGGGCGGAGCTAGTGGGCGCACTGCTGGGCACAGGTGGGCGGAACTTGCGGGTGGCACTGCTGGGCACCGATCATCAGGGCACTGATCATCAGTGCCCTGATGATCGGTGCCGATCCCCGCTCTGACAACTGCCGGTTCTCGGCAGTACTTTCCTCACGATCTGACAACGTGAGGAAAGTGCAGCCGAGAACCGGCACTTGCATTTCCCTCTGATCAGCGTGTCATTGGACACCGCTGATCACGTGGTAAAAGGCCGCTGTGATTGGCCTTTTACCACATCACGTGATCAGCTGTGTCCGTAGGACACAGCGATCACGGAGATCGCCGGGTGAGCGCCCCCTGGAGCACGCAGGAGAGCGCGTTCTGGGAGGACGTCATATGACGTCCACTCAGAACTGGCCGGCCGCAGTGCAGCCGTCATTTGGCTATCTGCGGTCGGCAGCTAGTTAACACAGAGCCGCTTCTCAGCTGTATCCCCTCTCCTCATTGGCTCACTGGCTGTGATTGGCAGCCAATGGCTCCAGCTGCTGTCTCAGCCAATTAGGAGCTAGAGTCCCCCTAGAGCCGAGGCTCTTGTGCACAGGGGGTTGCTGCATACAGAAGGTTTTTACCTTTATGTATAGAATGCATGAATGTAGAAAACCTTTAGCCTTTACAACCACTTGTAAAAGCACTGCCCCACCTTATTTATTTCAGGTACTTATATATAGCGCTGTCAATTTAAGCAGTGCTTTATATATATATATATTGTACATTCACATCAGTCCCTAACCTTCAAGGGGCATACAATCTAAGTTCACTAACTCACATTCATACACATACTAGGGCCAATTTGGACAGGAATCAATTCACCTACAAGCATATCTTTGGAGTTTGGAGTACAGGGAGATTATGCAAACTCCATGCAGGAGGTGCCATGGTCAGGCATCGAACCCATGACCCATTTCCTGCAAGGCAGACATTAAGCCACTGTGCCGCCCAACCTTAGCACATTCTACATTATTTCACTGCATCCATGACTTTTCTAATGAAAAAAAAAAAAATCAGTATGTTTTAACGGGTACTTTATTTCATATTTTAAAGTGTTTTATATAGAACACTGAATTATTCACATACCACTCCTGGGCCTAGCAGAGCCTACAACGAAGTGTCTTGAGAGGAATCTCACACAATCATGGGGTGAACAGACAAATTCCAGTCAAAGCATGTGCTATCCTTTAGGGACTTTTTGTTTATAGAACTTTATAGAGAGAACAATGAATGTCCACAAGATATGACAATAATATTTACGAATTACAAAAGTGACAAGTGCTCTTGGTCACAGAGATTTAAAATGGTGTGATTTGTGTGCAATTTCAGCAAGAATTCAGAGGCGATTTATGAAGATTTTAATGCTATTTGTGAATATTTTCAACAATTGCTTGCAGTGAGATTTCCATTATATTCTATGTATGTGAAATTTCAACAAAACTGCAGAAAAAGTCATGTAAGAACTACTTTAGAAATCGTACATGCTAAGACACTGACATGCACATTAAATGCGATTTCAGGTGTGATTTCAATTCACAAATCGCACCTGAAATCCCACCAGTATGGCTGGGTATTTAACGCCTCATTCACACAGGACATTTTGCAAACTCCCCTAAAAGCCTTTTTTCCTGGCAACAGAGTTTTGGAAGAAAAAATGCCTGACGCTTGTAAAAGTGTGTAACGTGTTAAGACATTTTATTTCTGCCTCTAAAGGCAGGAAAAAAAAATTTGCAAATCACATCAGCGCTCAAATCAGGCTGCTGGATACAAGTTCATGGTAAAAGACTCTCTAGACGGTGCAGCCCTTCCCGGATCGGGAAATCCTCAAAGCTCTGAAAAAATACACAAGAGGGTGCACACAACTCATGCATTACCGAGATAAACAAGTTTTATTATATACAAAAGACCAATGGGTACTCGCAAAACAACTGTGCAATCAGGCATGCAACAGCGTCAGATGATGGGGTCCTGACCTGGACCCTACTGTTGTTGATACTGATGCTTTTCGGGAGCCGTGCGGCCTTCCTCAGAGCAGGAAAGAAAATGCCTGACCAGGGGCGGACTGACCATTTGGAAACTCGGGCACTGCCCAAGGGCCCGGGGTCAGTAGGGGGCCCCATGAGATGCCCCTGGTACCTTTTTCATAGGCTTTGTTGAGTTTGGGAAAGGACACAGGGGCCCCATGATCCCCTATTGCCCAGGGGCCCCATGAGTTGTCAGTCTGCCCCTGTGCCTGACCTTCCCCCCTCCCCCAGAAGCAGCTGCAAAAACATCCAATGTGCATGAAGCCTAAAACATGAACAAGATATCCAATAACACCTGACTGATAGGTCTTTCAGCGGGGCACAGCCAACATCTCATATTCACGAGGTAAGGAAGCATTGCTTTTGGGCTGTGGTGTAATTTCTATGTCTTTCCTGTCCACGGTGGGTTTCAGAGTAAATCTTTGCAGAATGGTTGTAAAAAAGAGGAAGAGTTCCATGCGAGCCAGACCCTCGCCCATACACATACGTTTTCCTGGGAAAGAAGAAAGAAAGCACAACTGTCACAAAATAAAGGTCCTTCTTCTGATGTGTGAATAGAGCCTATGTTCCAGAACACAACCATGGTTTAAATTAGGATCTCACTGTATATCAAAAGATAAATTATATTATAATTATAATTGTGTTTATTTTTAAACAAGATGGTACCTGCTGAAAATGGCATAAAAGCATCACTCTTCTTAAAGGTGCCATTCTCATTAAGGAAATGTCCAGGGTCAAATTTGTGAGGGTTTTTGAACTGCTTGGGGTCCTTCAAGACTGAAGTTAGGATTGGAAACACTAAAGTTCCCTAAATTAAAAGAATTCAATTGGTTAGCTGGAAATAGATGCAGGCAAAAAGAAGATAGTATTAAAGAATTGCAAAAAGTACTAACTTATTAGAAAGAAGGAATTATTATAAGGCCTAGAAGGAATGCAGACTGCAGCTCTTGGTACAGTTTAGTAAGGGCAGGGAACTGAGGCTCTGACTATGCCTGGCCAGCTCTTCATGCACACTCCATGCACACTGTATACATTTATATCCACTTGCAGACTAGTAACACACTGATACGTCACTATATTTCAAGTGGTTATACCGGGATGATGTCTGTAGCTGTCCCCCACTGGAACACCCGATCAACCAGCAGGCACTTCCACCAACTAATATTGGAGGTGGACAAAGACCAGAACTGCCCTGTCCATCTCTGATATAGAAAACTGGAAGTGAGCATACATCACTTCTGGTTTCCCTGGATGTAAACGGCGCCATTTTAAAAAATTGAAAGCATTTGATGACACCAATTTCAGTGTGATCAAATGCTCTTATGGGCAGAGGAGGGATCTTGGGTCTTTCTTATAGATCCCAGATCTCTCCATAAAGATTGATTGTCACTGCCTATTGCTGTCACAAGGGATGTTTGCATTCCTTGTGAAAGCAATAAAAGTGATCCTAAAAAAAAAAAAAAAATTAAAGCACCCCTGCCTCCCTCCCCCCCCCCGCAAAGGTGAGTGCACACATTAGTCCCGCAAGCACGCAAACAGCAATCATCCCACACATTTGAGGTCCCACTGTGAAGGTTAGATCATGGGCAGTAATTCTAGCACCAGACAACCTATGTAAATCTAAGTGTCAACCTGGAAAGGCTTTTTTTAGCATCTCCTATGGATAGTAAAATTTATGTAATTTGCCGTTACATGGTGTGCACACTTTTAACTGCATAAGGACCACCCACAGTACATTTACTGCTGCAGGGCGGCCCCTGTGCGCAAAATCACGTATATATACACGAGATTCGTACTTCCCCGAGGGATCAATCATCCAATTTAGGCCAGTGATGTTTGGCCCAAGTCGGATGATCGATCCCTGTTCTATCCTGTCCTGTGTTGACAGTTACACAGGACAGTAAGTGATGAAATCTTCTCTCTCCGGGCACATTCCGTCCTAGAGACAGAAGAATCAACATAAACTGAGTAAAAGCACTACACAATTACAGTTAGAACACTCTAGGACACATTTAACCCCTTGAGCGCCCCCTACCCCAGTTAACCTCTTCACTGCCCTGTCACCAGTGTCATTAGTACAGTGTACAGATTTTTTTGCTGATCACTGTATTAGTGTCACTTGAGACTTCAGATAGCATTAGCTTAGCGTCAGTTAGCCTCAGTTAGCGCCCCTCCCAGATAGCATCAGATTGCCCGTTAGTACACCAGTAATCACATTTAACCCCTTGTTTGCCAGGAACATGCTCACATACACAATAAACCTCCATTGATAGTATCGTGTCTGAACAGATCAATATCTTTGATTAGCTCAGCACTATACCAGCGTTCACATTAGTATAGAGTCCCCAAAAATGCAGTGTTAGTGGGATCATCCCCGGCACCTGCCAGCACCTGCAATTAGCCCCTACGCTTACCCCCCCTTCTCCCCCAGCAAGTGCAGTGTCAGTAGGTCACTGTCACTTGATAAATTGCACACAAAACCGCAGTGTTCGCAGAATAAAAAAATAAAAAGTGCACAGGTGATCAAATACCACCAAAAAAGCTCTATTTGCGTGAAAAAAGGACATACATTTCATTTATGTACAGCATTGCACGACCGCGCAATTGTCAGTTAAACTAGCGCAGCGCTGTATAGCAAAAAATGGCGTAAATTGCAGTGTCTATACCATAGTTTGTAGAAGTTATAACTTTCACACAAAGCAATCAATATACACTTATTGGGATTTTTTTTACCAAAAACATGTAGCAGAATACATTTTGGCCTAAATTTATGACTAACTTTGACTTTACTATATATTTTTTATAACCAAAAGTAAAAAATATTGTCTTTTTAAACTTTTGGTCTTTTTTTGTTTATAGCGCAAAAAATAAAAAGCGCACAGGTGATCAAATACCACTGAAAGAAAGCTCTATTTGTGTGAAAAAAAGGTTATAAATTTTGTTTTGGTACAGCATTGCACGACCGCGCAATTACCAGTTGAAATAGTGCAGCGCCAAATAGCAAAAAAAGGCCTGGTCAGGAAGGGGGGTAAATCCTCAGGATGGCAAGAGGTTAAAGCATTACATGTTTGGTATCTGTTTACTCAGCGTAACATCATCTTTTATACATTATCAAAAAGCTGTATTACAATTGCATTAAAATCAATAAACCACCACTCACTCCTGATCCAAATCAGCTGCTAAATCTCACTTTCCCCTAAAGTATTGGCTACTCCATTAAAGTGGTTGTAAAGGCTGAAGGTTTTTTTACCTTCATGCATTCTATGTATGAAGGTAAACAATCTTCAGTGTGCAGTTCTCCCCTAATACTTACCTGAACCCGATACAGATTTAGTGATGTGCACAAGAGCAGCAGGTCTCCCGGGTCTCTCTTTCTACATTGTCTAAGCACAGCAGTGGGAGCCATTGGCCCCCGCAGGTGTCAATCACAGCCAGTGAGGAGGATCAGCGGGGGGTGGGACTGAGTCATGTTCTGTGTGTCCAATAGACACACACAGGTGGCTCGAGAGCGAGCACGCATGAGTGCCCTTAGAGCGAGCAGCTTGCTATGTGGGCACTCGGCAAGGTGGAGGGACTAGAAGTGACTTAGAGGACCTGAGAAGAGGAGGATCGAGGCTGCTCTGTGAAAAACCACTGCACAGAGCAAACAAGTATCACAGGTTTATTATTTTAAAGAAAACAAAACCAAGCCTTTAGAACCACTTTAACTTCTCAAATACAAGATATGCATCATAAGCAGATTATTTCCTCCATGTCCCCAATCTCTTGAAAAAAACCTGTTTGGTTGCAGGAGTTGACTTTACAGGTATACGGTGCCTATGTATCACTTGTTGAGATCTCTTGCCCCTGAGGGCAGTTGAACCCTGCTTGTCCACCCAAATTCCCCTAATGAACATGGGCAGCCTTAGGGTAGATATAGGTAGCTCAATATTTACAAGTAAAGATGGTGCTTGAGGTGATTGTAGCCGTATTAGTGCACTTGAGACAGAAACTATTGAGTACTGTCCATTCAAGTAAAGATGGCAAATTCATAAAAATGCTCGCAATTATTTGTTCCTTCCTTAACAGTGAGGAGGTGATAACAAGTGCCTCTGGTGTATAAAGGGCACTTACTTTTGCATGGGGAGGCTTTTCAACTTTCTGAAAAGTATTGCTGTAAGCAAAATTGATCCTTCACTTAGTAATGGAAGAAAGGAAGGATCACATTACAGGGTGCACTATTGTTATTCGGGAACTAGAATGACTCATGTGAGAATAGGAACATATTATGCTGTCTGACCTGTCATTTTGAAAGGAAATACCTTCCAGATGTAAGCCTGATCAAATCATATACTGTATTAGATAGATAGATAGATAGATAGATAGATAGATAGATAACACAGAGACATCTCAGACCACCCTGAAACTCTGAGAAGAGCACCTTAGGAATCTGATATCCTCTGAAGGTGGTATCCTTGCTGGCTGCATGGAGTAGTCCTACTGGTACAATATCAGCAAATCTCTGGACTTCATGAATTACTGCATCTGTATATGGCATCTTACTTCTGTCCTCCACTGATGGACAGCGATCACTTCCTATTACATTTTCAATCTCTTTTTGGATTTGCTCTGGAGCACATTGAAAGAGAAGAGCATAAAAAACATTACATTATATTAAATATTACATGTTGTCAGTTCTATAATTATTCATTTATGCAAGATTACTGATATTTTTACATTGGGAATAATTGTGTTTTGTCACACGCTGAAAAAATGCAGCAAAGTCTGTGGGTGGGTGCAGCATGGTGCAATGGAATAGCACACAGTCCAAGCGCAATCAATAGAACTATTGTAGTAAAGACAAAACAGTTCACAACAAACCCAGTGGGAGAGGACCTCATGACCTCATAAATTCCAACAGCATGCAGTGTAGCAGGTATCAGTCAAACTGAAACTCTGTCTGGAGAGGTAGAATGCATCTTGGCTGTCTCATACCCAAATGGGAAGCAATAAGCTTTCCCTTCTCATCTAGAGTCTCTCTGCAGCTAATACTGTCCCTGATAGAAGGCTAACCTGTCTCTACACTATCCTCACATGAGTGTGCACCAAAACCTGGGAGCAGGGATTTAAAAAGACTTTGCTGGCCACCAAGGGTCACCTGGATGTAGCATAGCCAACCAGAACGCTACCTCCAGGTACCAGAAAACCATAGAGAAACTGAATTTCCCCTGAGTTTCTCTCCAAGCTGTAGTGCCACTCAAGCACCACCTACAGTGGAGGAAGCAGATTACACCTGCCTACAAGCATAGGTGTCCGTTTATGGACCAGCGGTAATAGATCGCTGCTCAGTTCTCCGGCATTCTCGGAGAACACAGTTCTCCTGTGAATGCAGTTTATGAAGCAGTTCTCCAAACGAAAGGAGAACGGTCTCCAAACGCTGGAGAATGGTCTACAAACTTTGGAAAACGGTCTACAAACCGAAAACTAAGCAGAGATAATTTACCTCTGTTTAGTAAACTGACCTTTTACTATAATCTCGAGAGATTATAGTAAAAGGTCAGTTTACTAAACAGAGGTAAATTATCTCTGCTTAGTTTTCGGTCCCTCTGATTCTCCAGCTCTGGGCTGGAGAATCTGGAGGGAGAACACAGATCTCCAGAGAAGGGCTGACATGATCTCCTGAGTGTCATAAACTGTGAATGACCAGAGAATAGCTGAGATCTGTAGAATCGCAGCTATTCTCTGTGTCATAAACGGACACCTTACTTATAGGAATGATCACCTAAGGGTGACATCACACAGCAAAGTGTTTTTAAATTGTAAAGTGTCTTCATGTGCTAGGTAGTGTTTTCTGAGAAAAAATAATTACTGCCATGCATTTGTTGAAAAATAAAGAATGACTTTCTAATAAAAGAGCAGTTCTAGGTAAAAAGTAAAATCATTCATTGCTATATGCTATTCAGTAAATAGAACAACTGTATTAAATCCATGAAGTTCCCTCAGTTTACCCTAATCTATAATCTAAGTCAGGGTTTCTCAACCACGGTTCCTCCAGAGGTTGCAAGGGGTTCCTTGAGCAATGGGCAATTGCTACCTTTAAGATAAGTTCTCTATGACACCATTGAACTTTGTAGGTATCAGTAAGGGAGTAATTCTTCCCAATGACTTCAAGTGTAAGGAGCATTCTTCCCACTATCACAATTATGTAAGTTAAGTTATTTCAAGGGGTCTTCTGTACTGGAAAGGTTGAGAAAGGCTGATTTAAGTAATCCTAAGCTGCTGATACACACACAGTTCTATAGGGGCAAAAACTGGAGCGTCCTTCTAGGAGATAGGTGTCAACTGTTTTCTTGATAAATAGTTGACATACATGTTTTTCTATCTAGCCAGGGAGGCCTTTTCTCATTGTGCCTTCATACTGGTTTTTGATTGTGTTCCATATAGGTATATATAGTGTCTGGTAAACTATGGTCATTATGGCACATTTAATTAGCTCTACATCCGTTTTAGGAACTTTAGCCATGGGTTATCTAATTGGAGCTTGATAATCCAAATGTAGTAAATATTAATATATATTTTTTGTCATGATCATATTCATAATGGTAATTTTTCCCATTCTGAACAAGGATACGATGCTTGGTCTTCAAGAAAATGGCTCCCGCTTGTTTGCTCTCCTGACGGCTATTTAAGGCATGCACTGTGATGGCGTCAGTATAAGGCGGGTCCTTTTGAGAATGTGCGTGTGCACAAAATGCGTCAGGGAGGAGCCTACATGCTGACGTCATGCCGCCCAGTCCATGCAATGGTCCGGTGGCCATCTTTGTGACTGTTTGTTTTGTTGCTGTTATGCTACACCTGGCTGTTTTATCATTTTAAATAAAATACTACACTATATGCCCTTGTCTTTGAGCTCTGTTATGTGAGCTCCTTTCAGGATGTGCCACATTTGGATCGATCGCTGACCGGTGCAGGGAAGGTTCATTTCCAGGAATGCCCATATGGAGCCCATTTCGCAGTGGATGTCATTTGGGTATTTTTCTATTTCCTGCAGTGGAAAAGATACATCTCTTGGAGGGATTTCCATACAGAGCCTGTTTATTTTGTGCTTCTAGTGACTGCATAGTGGTGGAGGATTGTCACAGATGTCACTTCACATCTCTGGTCACCATTGAGTCACACATTATTGTCGAACACTGCAACTTTTCTTTTGGACTTTATGATTTATGATATTGAATATTAGTTCACATATTTGTTTCTGTTCATATATTAGTGCTGAACCTCTGTTTATGTGTTTTTAATTCATTAGAATAGGAGGGGTTGCCACTTTGTGCTAGCTGCTTGTTTATTTATTTCTTTGCGCTCATTATACATTTTTTTTCAATAGCATCTTTCAACATTACCAGATTACATGGAGTGATGTGGGATGATGCAGTTCAGCAACGTGTGGATGAAAAACTGAATTAGGATCTGTACCAGGCTTGTGTCAATTACTTTAGAATTCATTGACAGGTGCAAATGTCCTGCAGTTGACTTCTTTCTGACATGCTTTAGGTGGTTTTGAGTTCCCATAGACTTGTATAGGAAAGCAAAACCCATTTGAAGCAAGCAAAAGTCTGTCAACACTCAGCTGGCTGGTAATGCTCCTTTTATGCACCTCAAATTTAAATTTTTTAATTTAGACAGGGCAATAGCCCTTATTGTGCTGGTAGGAATAGATGGCATTACCTTGTATCTCAGGGTATTTGAGTAGTATCAAGAAGGCATATCGCAGTGTCATACTTGTAGTCTCAGTTCCAGCAAAGAACAGGTCAGCTACTGTTCCTAGTAAATTATCCTTATGGAATTCTGTTTTTGGGTTATTCTTTTCCTGAAAAATATTTTCAGAGTTATTTTAGCAAACAAATGGGACATGAGACTACCACAATCCTAGTAAATCACCACTAATTCCTAAATCAGACTCCTACCCTGGCTCATAGTGTTTTTGTTTTGCAAATTGTTTAAGGACCAGAGTTGAAAGAATCCCCTCAAGATTCTCATCCCTCCCCAGTAGTTTGGATAGCTGCCAGCAGAAATAAGCATGGAATATTCATGGAATAATCATGAACCTTTTACTGTAATTCTCACAAATTAATAATCAATCAGTACACTGTCCAAGAGTAACCTTTAAAGCAGCAAACTACCCTATAATGTGCAACAGAGCCATTGTATGTACACATTACAGTATGGTATCAATTGGCACATTTGTACTTCTTACCAGCCACGCAGTAAAAGCTGAACTATACCTTTAAAGCAGCCTTTCTCAAACAGGGTGCCCTGAGGTTTATTCAGGGATGCCTTGGTAAAATGTCTAAAAACTGCCTAAAACTTGTATACAAGCCAGCGGGTGAAACAAGCCTGCCTTTTAGAGACACAAAGCCACAGGTTTTCATTATGCACCATTATAACCTTCTAGCTGCCAGCACCCTGACAAGCAATGACATCATCAGTTGATAAGGAGGATGTCAGCTGCCTGCACATTATCCTAGTTTGACCCTCCCCTGAAACCTCTCCATCAGTGCTGGGGTCACATTAGCTCAGTGATGGACAAAAACTGAGGGGAGAAGAGAAACACTCAGTACCAGTGTGCAAAAGTGTATTTGCTATGGAAGAATAGATCACCTCTAATGTTGGGTGTCATATGTGTGTGGATGTTGCTGCATTATATAAAACTATTAGAATAATTTTCACATTTTAGAATGGGGGTGCCCTTTTAAAATTACGGATAGTCTTGAGACAACCCATTTTAGATTGGGGTCCCCTAAAACCGCCCATAATTCTAAAGGATGCCTCGGGACAGTCCATAATTTTAAAGGGTGCCTTGATTGAAATAAGATTGAGAAACACTGCTTTAAAGCATTCCTTGCTTTTAGAAAAAATATCAGATTCTTGACCAATAATTAAAAATCAAACTCACCTCTTTCATTTTAATGATGAAGCAATCTATAAAGTCTCGAGGGCAGTTCTCATCCAATGTCTCCTTGTGAGCTTCCACTCTTTCTTCCATAAACTTACTAAACTTTTCAAAATTTTTAAAAAGTTTTTGGTGGGGCCAGGGATACGGCTCATTAAGGCTGGGAACAGATTAAGGAGCTGAAATACATTTTAATTGAGGTGTTAAATATTGAGCAATACATCTCCCTTACATTTTTAACAAACTGAACTTTAAGTTTTCAATATTCAGTCTGTCAATTGCTATCGTAATGCCATCCTTTGAAAAACTTCTCTAACTAGTCTTGTACCTTAATTTTTTTTGTAGGTGTGACTGAAGTTTAAAAAAGCCATATTGGGTCCCATTTAAAACAGGGAGTGGATACTACTTTCCACAGGACATCGCAGTGACTACTCCACTCAGTGTATACATTTTCAGTTTAATTTGTAAAATGTGGAGCAAAGTGTGAAGTGTACAGCATAATACAGTATGTTCTCTGCATAATGCTATAGAGAACACTCAGGATAGGAGGAGAGGCCTTTCACATGACCTATCAAAGTCCTATAACAGGCTTATTTCTTTCACTTTTTCCCCAGTCATTAAAGTGTTACTAAACCCACAACCCTGCATTCACTATATCTTGTCTCCCATAGTACACACAACATGGAAGTGCAATTATTTTAGTAAATATAAACTGCTAAATGCCTTTTCTTATCAGCAGTTAGACCAGTCTTGTGACTTCTATTAGTGTCCAGCTGAGCACCAGTTAAAGCTTGTAGGAGGAGTTTTCATTCTCCCCTGGTTGTCCTCTGAGGTTGCATGACCTCTGACCCTCTGTCTGGACAGTGCTGGCCCTGTGCTGGTCACATGCATCTTCCCAAAGAAAAAAAAAAAAATCTCTCTAGCCATACACACTAAACTGAGCATTTGCAGAGTGACACCTAGAGCTCTGTGCTATCAGCAGATGGATTGGGGACAGTAGAAGAAGGGATCAGAGAATACAGGATCAAACAGCTTTTTTTACACAATGCAGAGGATTAAACCCTTAGGTTCCACAGTAAGTATAACAAGCATGCTTTACTGCTTATACAGGCTAATTGTACTGTTGTGGGTTTAGTTCCACTTTTCCAGATTTTCTATTGCTTCACTGTCCTGAAGAAACCTTCTCCATTGGTCCTTGTGGCCATTGTCTCAGAAGGTGCAGAAGGCCTTTCTCTCATAAACATTATATAAAATATGTGTAGTGTGTATACACACACTATAATACACTATATATATTTACCTGACCCAATCCAGAGTTCAACAGGGTTACAATTTCTTGAATAAGTTCCAGAAGAGACATAAACTTCTTGTCTTCGTAGTCAAATCTCTCTCCAAATACAATGGAGCAGATGACATTGGAGACAGCCAATCTTAGCAGATGAACTGGATTTATTGGTTTATCTGTTATTACACAAGCAGAACCAATCAGCATTTTTGTCCAAAACATCAGGATCTAGAATTTGGTAAGCCATTTCAAATGTGCACGGACCTTGGGTAAATACTAAATGATTACAGATTAGTCTGGCATAAAGAATGAACTGATGGTTCAGTCCCAACACAAGTTCAGCCCAAACCTTGGCTGTTTTGGTATTTTCATAAACACCTGAACATTTGCCCAGTCATCATTAACCACATATAGCCATCTCCATTTTTAGCCAGTTATGTCACCTGAGAGGCCCTGCCTCTGTTTACATATGAGCTGTTATCTGCCAGACTTGTCAGCAGAAGTGAATCGAAAAGACAAGACATGCGTTGGCAGGTGGTGCTTCTTTCTGCGGTGGGTGGGTCAACTAGGGTTGGGCATCATGATTGATAAGAATCTACATCACTAGATGCTGTGATTGATGGTGGATGTACATGGTGATCCTTTTTTGTTTTTTATATTTATTTTATGAATGAGTAAGGGCAATATGTACACCTCACTCATTTGCATGGGGGGGGGCAGTATCTGGGAGCCACCATATCGTTAAAGAGACTTCCAGATTCTGACAAGCCCCTCACCAGCAGAACCCCACAAACACTAAGCCAGGGTTGTGGGGAAGAGGCCCTTGTCCTCATCAATAGGGGGGCAAGGTGTTTTGCCAGGGGGCCCCCATGTTGAGGGCATGTGGTCTGGTATGGTTCAAGAGGCTAGTGGACACCCGCCTTCCTGTTTCCTGGCCTTCCAGGCTGTATGCTTGGGCAAGGTCCAATTTTCAGGGGGACAAGATGCATCTTTTTTTCTTGATTTTTGCATGGGTTCCCCTCATAAAATTCATACCAGACTTGAAGTATCTGATATTAACTGGGGGGAATCCCATGCTGTATTTTTTTTTGTGTGTGTGTGGGCCGCTTTTTTTACTAACATAATGAAAGTAGTTGTACAGGCTAAAGGTTTTTTCTACACATGAAGGTAAAAAAACATTCTATGTACCTTGATTTGTTATACTTTTGTATGATTTCAATAAATGCAACTGTTAAAAACAAAAAACTTTCTGGTTGTAGCGCCCCCCCGGCTCCCCCCAATCCTTACTTAAGCCCCCTCCGATCCAGAAAAGTTCTTGACAGCCTGTGCTGTCTGGAGACTCTTCCTTCTCATTGGCTGAGACAGCAGCAGAAGCCCATTGGCTCCCGCTGCTGTTAATCCCAGCCAGTGAGCCAATGAGTAGAGAGCAGACGCATATGAACGCATAGAGCAGTAGCTCGGGATGAGCATGCAGCGGTGCCCCCCAGGGCGAACAGCTTTCCCTGGAGGCACTGCTTGAGAGGGAGGAGCCAGGAGCACCGACAGGGACCTGAAAAGAAGTGGGTCTGGGCTGCTCTGTGCAAAACCATTTCACAGACCAGGTTAGTAAAGACATGTTTGGTATTTAAAAAAAAAAAAAAGCTTCACTTGAAACATCCAGGAGCTGTCGTTTTGCTGGCAATTTACCACTTGACCTCCAGAAGGATTTACCCCCTTCATGACCAGGGCATTTTTAGCTATGCAGCACTGTGCTACTTTAACTGGCAATTGCTCAGTCATGCAGCATGGTACCCAAATTAATTTTATATAATTTTTTTCACACAAATAGAGCTTTTCTTTGGTGGTATTGAATGACTACTGGGTCATTTATTTTTTGCTATATAAATGCAAAAAACACCACAAATTGCGAAAAAAAAAATTGTTCTTAGTTTCTGTTAGAAAATTTTGCAAACAAATAATCTTTCTTCATAAATGTAGGCCAAAATGTAGTCTGCTACATTTCTTTTGTAAAAATAACCAAATCAGTGTTTATTATTTAGTCTGTGTGAAAGTTATAAAGTCTAAAAACTATGGTATGTATATTTGAAAATTGATCAGTTCTGATGTACTGATGACCCCTTTTTGGAAAGTAGGCAGTCCAAGGTTTGTAAGAGGCTTGGTGAGTTTTTTGAAGTTGTAACGTTTTGTCACAATTTTTTGGAAAATAAAAAACTAAATATAATTAGCTTTTTTTGTTTTTTCACAATTTCTTACATATTGTCACCAGTGCAGTACAGCATCATCATATGACTGGTGTGATGGTAGTTTGGATATACTGATTGGTGATCACATTGGGGGGGTGATCAGAGATTTTTTTTTTTTACACTATTGATCACTATAGTTTTAGCTGTCATTAATGGCTTTCATTCATGACAGCTTGCTTACTAATATGATCCGTGACTGGCTACAGCTAATCACATGGTACAGGTGCTGTGATTGGCCCAGGTACCATGTGATAGCTGTGGGCCAATCACAGCATCACAATACTAAACAGCCATGAATGGAAGCCCATTCATGACTCTTTTGCTTACATGTAATCATGTGATCACCATGAATAATCATAGCGATAACATAATACCCAGCCGCTCACAGCAAATGGGTACCAAGCGCCAGTGCACATGTGCACCACAACATACAGGTATGTTGCAGTGCCGGGGGGAGGAGTAAATGTACAGCTGGAGGTCTGCTAGTGGTTAAGCACACCTCAATATTGTTATATACATATATACATCGCAAAGATGTGGCACTTATTAGGCAGGGTCAGGAGAGCCCCCATACATGTTATTTAATTGAGCTTTACATTTTTTAATGTTTCACTTTAAGCATTACTGAAATCATTGCACCCAGCCATTTAAATCTGATTGCCATTATTTAAAGAATTGAAATCCAGTGAAATAAAGGGGCAGGCAGGTAAGACTATGGAGGAAAAGGATAAGTTATCCTCCAGCCAGTAAATGAGGTCGGCTCTACATGACTTGATGCAGCTTAACAGTGCACAGTGAAATCAGAGCAGCAAATTTCAGTACAGAAGAGGAGCCCATACAACTGTGCAATACTGAAATAATGGCTAAAGTTCAGCTTTCAAGTACAGAAGAAATAGTTTCTTTGAAATTATTTAGAAAAATATACATTGTTAACTAATATGGCTTACCATGATGTTTGCCGATGTTTTTCAGAAATAGCTGAATTACTAATTGCCTCTGTTAAATTCTATTCCAACTAGATAACTGTGAGTACTTATTCCAAAAGACCACACAGCCTGAACTCCTCATATCACATAAGGGCTTATGCCCTAAGTATATTCATTCTACTGTGTACTGCTGAAATTTTCAGAGGCAGCTGTCAATCATTAGAAGCCCAATAATTACAAGGATGCCAATATTTCAGCCCCTTAAATGTTTAGACTATTTTTTTATAACACATCTCATACCAGGAGATATAACCCAAGTAGTCATTAGCATATTAGATGATACTGTTACACCAGCTTAGTAATAGGGATCTTTGAAGATTGTGTTAGAAAATAAATAGTTTAGATCAATAGGTTGAGCAATGTCATGTAAAAGTGGATTTGGAGTCACCATTGTGCAATTTCAGCATGATCTCCACCTGCCTTTGATCTTCATAAATCTGTCCCGGAGACACCGAGCTTCCTCCTGGATTCTTTCCTCCACACTCCGCTTCCCCATCCCAAAATTTCTCAGTGTTGTCAGGGAAAAGCGTCGCAGTATTTTCCATCTCTCTCCGTTGCTCATAATGACCCCTAAAAAAAGTGAAATGTTTTATACATATTGCTCTTGAATGCCCTTTAAAATTCAAACATTTTAAACAATGACCTATTGACTCACTCTATATTGCATAAATATCAGCAGGAACACCATTAGCATGGATGTTGTGTGTTCCCACTGTCTTTGTGTAGGCTTATACTTACAGCATGAAAATATACTGATCATTTAAAAGATTAGTTTATCTTTTCAGAACTAGCACCCTACATCTTCCCCACCCCCACCTCCCCAGTCCCTGCTGTACTTGCCTCCATGAGTGATGAGCTGTCAGTGCCCATACAGCCCGCGTAGTGGTCAGAGGATTGGAGATCCCCACATGTACATATATTTTATAAGGATTTTATGTGATAGACCAACACAAAGTGGCACATCATTGTGAAGTGAAAGGAAAATGATAAATGGTTTTCAAAATTTTTTACAAATAAATATCTGAAAAGTGTGGCGTGCATTTGTATTCAGCCCCCCAAGTCAATACTTTTTAGAACCACCTTTGACTGCAATTACATCTGCAAGTATTTGGGGATGTCTCTACCACCTTTGCACATCTAGAGAGGGACATTTCTGCCCATTCTTCTTTGCACAATAGCTCAAGCTCTGTCAGATTGGATGGAGAGCATCTGGGAACAGCATTTTTGAAGTCTTGCCACAGATTCTCAATTGGGTTTCGGTCTGGACTGTGACTGGCCCATTCTAACAACATGAATATGCTTTTATCTAAACCATTCCATTGTAGCTCTGGCTGTATTTTTAGGGTCATTGTCCTGCTGGAAGGTGGACCTCCACCCCAGTCTCAAGTCTTTTGCAGACTTTAACAGGTTTTCTTCTAAGATTGCCGTGTATTTGGCTCCATCCATCTTCCCATCAACTCTGACCAGCTTCCCTGTCCCTGCTGAAGAAAAGCATCCCCACAACATGATGCTGCCACCACCATTTTCCACGGTGGGGAGGATGTGTTCAGGGTGATGTGCAGTGTTAGTTTTCCGCCACACATAGTGTTTTGATTTTAGGCCAAAAAGTTAAATTGGTCTCATCTGACCAGAGCATCTTCTTCCACCTGTTTGCTGTGTCCCCAATATGGCTTCTTGCAAACTGCAAACAAGGCTTCTTATGGCTTTCTTTCAACAATGGCTTTCTTCTTTCCGCTCTTCCATAAAGGCCAGATTTGTGGTGTGCACGATGAATAGTTGTCCTGTAGACAGATTCCCTCACCTCAGCTGTGGATCTCTGCAGCTCTTCCAGAGTTACCATGCGCCTCTTGGCTGTCAGTTAGTTAGGTATGACAGCCATGTCTTGGTAGGTTTGCAGTTGTGCCATACTCTTTCCATTTTCAGATGATGGATTAAACATTGCTCTGTGAGATGTTCAAAGCTTGGGATATTTTTTATAACCTGACCCTGCTTTAAACTTATCCACAACTTTATCCCTAACCTGTCTGGTGCGTTCCTTGGCCTTCATGTTGCTGTTTGTTCACTAATATTCTCTAACAAACCTCTGAGGGCTTCACAGAACAGCTGTATTTATACTGAATTAAATTACACACAGGTGGACTCTGTTTATTAATTAGGTGACTTCTGACGCTAATTGGTTCCACTAGATTTTAGTTAGGGGTATTAGAATAAAGGGGGCTGAATATAAATGCACGCCACACTTTTCAGATATTTATTTGTAAAAAATATTGAAAACCGTTTATCATTTTCCTTCCACTACACAATTATGTGCCACTCTCTGTTGGTCTATAACAGTGGTTGCGAACCTATGGCACGTGTGCCACAGTGGGTTTGCAGAGCCCTCTCTGTCAGCATGTGAACCAAGTCACCCCAGCAGCCGAGCATCGGATAGCGGATACTGTACCAAATTTTGGGTTGTCCCCAGAACAGGAATTGTTATCTTCTAAAGGGGACACTAGTTCTGATTACCCTGGTGAAAACAAAGGATTCCCTCAGTTTAGAGGTATTTTCCCTCACTTCCTGTTTTGGCTATGGGACATGAAATGAAGGAAAATCTCCCCAATGTGACATAGATGGCAAAAATAAACCATACAAGGGTTATAACCCTTCCTCACGCTATCAAAAATGAAAGCTGGAGCTCTGATGCCCTAACCCAAAGTTAAAGAACATAATGCCTTTTTAAAAAGATCTAACATTTTTATAACTTTGTTACATTCCTATCTGGATGCAGAGGGTGCAATCACCACACGCCAAGTACGCTTTAAAGTGCTGAATAACATGTAAGTTCTATATAAAAACTGGAAAAAGAAAATGTTGTGCACCTCACAGCAACTTGTGTTTTTTTATGCGTTGTGGCACCCGTACACCTAATACAAAATTCATTGATTCTAACGATGCCCATAAAAAACATCCTTCATAAATTCAGGAAGCAGATATTAATTGTTTGTTTATTGGGCTCATGCCACTTAGAAATCATGGAGGGGTCTGAAATTCACATTGTAGGTGCATTCCCACTCTGAGAGACAGAATTTAAAAAAAAAATTCAGGAAATCACATTGTATGATTTTTAAAGAAATTTATTTATCTTGCACTGCTGAAGCATAAGTATTTGAACACCTGAGAAAATCAGTGTTAATGTTTGGTACAGAAGCCTTTGTTTGTAATTACAGAGGTCAAACGTTTCCTGTAGTTCTTGACCAGGTTTGTACACATTGCAACAGGGATTTTGTCCCACTTCTCCACACAGATCTCCTCTAGATCTGTCAGGTTTCAGGGCTGTCACTGAGCAACATGGAGTTTCAGCTCCCTCCAAAGATGTTCTATTGGATTTAGGTCAGGAGACTGGCTAAGCCACTCCAGAACCTTGATATGCTTCTTACAGAGCCACTCCTTGGTTATCCTGGCTATGTGCTTTGGGTCGTTGTCATGTTGGAAAACCCAGCCACGACCCATCGTCAATGCTCTGACTGAGGGAAGGAGGTTGTTGCTCAAAATCTCGCAATAAATGGCCCCATTCATCCTCTCCTTAATACAGTGCAGTCATCCTGTCCCCTTTGCAGAAAAGCATCCCCAAAGTATGATGTTACCACCCCATGCTTCATAGTAGGGATGGTGTTCTTGGGATGCAACTCATTCTTCTTTTTCCTCCAAAACACGACAAGTGAAGTTTAGACCAAATGTTCTACTTTGGTCTCATCTGACCACATGACTTTCTCCCATGCCTCCTCTGGATCATCCAGATGGTCATTGGCAAACTTCAGACTGGTCTGGACATGTGATGAGCAGGGGAACCTTCCGTCCAATGCATCATTTGAAACCATGACGGCGTACCGAAAGTGACCTTTGAAACTGTGGTCCCAGCTCTTTTCATGTCATTGACCAGCTCCTCCCTTGTAGTTCTGGGCTGATTCCTCACCTTTCTTATCATCAGTGATACCCCACGAGGTGAGATCTTGCATGGAGCCCCAGTCCGAGGGAGACTGGCAGTCGTCTTTAGCCTCTTCCATTTTCTAACAGTTGCTCCAACAGTTGATCTATTTTCACCAAACTGCTTGGCAATTGCCCCATAGCCCTTTCCAGCCTTGTGGAGGTCCACAATTTTGTCTCTGGTGTCTTTTGACAGCTCTTTGGTCTTGGCCATGGTAGCAGTTGGCGTCTGACTGACTGTGGGGTGGATAGGTGTCTTTAAAGAGCTCAAACAGGTGCTACTAAGTTAGATTAATGAGTGGAGTAGAGGTGGACTTTTTAAAGGCACAGTAGCAGGTCTTTGAGAGCCATAATTCTTGCTGTTTCTTAGGTGTTCAAATACTTATGTTCAGCAGTGCAAGACAAATAAATTCTTTAAAAATCATACAATGTGATTTCCTGAATTTTTTTTTTAATTCTGTCTCTCAGAGTGGGAATGCATCTACAATATGAATTTCAGACCCCTCCATGATTTTTACGTGGGAGAACTTTCAAAATCGCATGGTGTTCAAATACCTCTGTTCCTCACTGTATAGGTTTTCATGCTTTGATTCCTACCTTCCCAATAGAATAATCTAGATGTGGAACTTACAAGGGCCAAACTTGCTTCTGTAGTGATGTCAGTTATGACACCTTGTTGAGGATCGTCCATTTATGTGTACACCTCAGAGGAAAAAAAACAGTCCTCTCCTAATAAAACTCTATAAACTTATTGGAAAATACATGAGTACCTTGTATGAGGTAAATTTTTGTGGTGAGGGTTGTATAGGAGGACTATTTATGGGTCCTAGGCTGCTCAATCTCTGATAATGATGTGGATGCTGTCTATCAGATGGACAAATAGTGGTTGTTGGGGAGGTACACTTAAAACAAACAGTTACATGATCAAGTGATTTATTATTAACCTTTATTAGCTAAGAAATAGTATACAGCTAAGGCCAACCTTAATAGTCTGGCTTGGGATGAACTAAATTAATATTAACTTGTGCTGGCCAGCAGAATCGGCACCAATCAATGAGAATCCAGCTCTTCTCAAGCCATTTTATTACAGTGCATTTAGTTTGGATCTAATCACGAGATTTTGCCTAGCCTTGAAGAATTGAGAGGCCACATCTTAACAAACTTTGTCTATATACTATGTTCCTAAAAAAGAGTGTTAGCAAATCATTTGATCATACAGCTGTTTGTAATAGACACTAACTAAATTACCACTTATAGTCATTCATCATCTTACTCATATATTAGTTATAATCAGTGAATTGTGTGTACATTGCTTCGACCCATTAGGTTCTTGCATAACTGAGAACAGGAAGATTACTTCCTGTCATTTTCAGGGATATATTTGTTTCATAAATGAGAAGAGTAAATCCTCTTGGTCCACCAGCATCAGTAGAACCAGAAACGACCTCTCCTGCGCTCTATGACCCGGAGCAAGGGTGGATAGATGAAACCAGAACTTGAAAAATTCAAACACCAATGCATATAAGGTTGTGCAGCTCTAAGCGAGGCTGGGGAAACCCGACCAGTACTGCAAAGTGAAACAAAAAAGAAAGTGCACCAACCTTGCGCTTTACCTCAGTAAACCATAATTTTATTAAATTCAGAATAATACTCACAAACAACTAAATAAATCAAGCATGTAAGTCCTCAAAGGAACTTTAGAAGTGTGAAGCCTGTGTGAGTCACTTTGTAGGAGTAGATACTCAGAGTACGGCTGACACGTTTCGAAGGGTGTCCCATCTTCATCAGAGATGAGCACTTCTAAAGTTCCTTTGAGGACCTACATGC